TGGTGCCCGGAATCAGAATCCTGAAACTTTTTACTCAACCCACAAACGACTGCATAGCATACGGGAGCAGGAACTGGCAGACGACGATTTCAATCCACTTGTCTGCACAGACTCCGCATTGCGCAGAGTTTCATGCTCATATACATATACGGGCGTTTCGCGTTCGGGAAGTTGCCTGCTCAGACTGCTGAACACGAACATCTCTGAAAACAATTTTAATTTCGCATCTTGTTATTATCACTGTCTCCCAGGTCGAAGTATGACTTCCTGCTCTCATGTTGCCGAAATCTGAATTCAGTTTGTGTCACTAACACTTTGCTACTCTAGATATCTCGGGTCTTCCTCCAGTTAAAACGCGGTCGAAACAAATCACGACCCTCGCGATATTTTTTATTTTCAAGATGACAACAAGAGCAAGGACAACTGACTGTGGTTGCGGTCACTCACTGCTCCGATGCTATCCTTCGTCGCCTGGCATTTGGGGAAATCCCGACAGCCCGAAATCTGCGGGTGGGCTGGCTGCTGCTTGCATGATGACCAACAGCGTGATATAATTTGATAGCTTCGAGCAGTTACGACTCGGTCACAACGATAAAGCCGATTCGTTGAGTCTCGCACTCGACCCGAATTCGGGAATCGTCATAAAAGGCTCGAAGGAATTGCTACTTTTGCGAGATCTGCGTCAAAGCGCGCCGTACCAAGAAGGACCAGTTGCACTGGCTATGCATTATTACACGAGCAATCATTTCGACGACGAAATCTGTCGGAATGCGGGATACGCGGTCTGCAGCATTTTATTATGAGGCTGCTTCGCCGGCAGAGATGAAGAGTCACAGGCGAAAGAGCATGGAGGAGACAACTTATCGAGGAAGACGAATTCATTACGAGAAAAAAAAGATGCATTTCTCACGTCGTTGAGCGACCGGTGTCAGGGACGAAGGAGCAAACGTATTCAGAGAAATACGCCCTTAACCAGCTCATTGCATGGGCCAAATGTCAGGGTGGATGGACTACTGAGAATGGAGAGACTCCACCTGACATTGCCGTTTCTGCCATCATGTATTCAATTGCAACTGGATTAAAAATACGAGGCTGATATCGGAAAGCTGCCTCACTGCACTTGTTCTGCCATGCGCCCATAGAGTGCGAACAACCAGAACGAATCCTCGGAGCCACAGACAAGAGACTTCAGAAATATCGAGTTGAATGCACAGAAAAAGTCAGTTTATTTGTCTTGACTACGACGACCAGCGCCATGGATGTTAATACAATCGACCAATTTACCAGAGAATCATTATCTGTGCTCATCACACACAAGGGTCTTGAACAGCTTCTTCAACTCTGTCAGGCATGTTCCAGCATAGGGAGGAAGTCATCATCTTCTCAATGTCCTTTGTACGGAGCATCCACCAACAAAGGACGAGCAGATCTTTCTCTGTCGCTTGCCCGGTGCTACGCTACAGTTATTATTATTCGACCAGAATCGAGCGAGGAACTATCTATCGCCGTCTTGAGAGTTAGCGGTGACACCCAGAAAAGTTCGCAGGATCAGTCAATTGGTTAGCACCCGACGAAAGAAACCAAGAAAATGACGAGCACCTTCACTTCAACCACCTTGCACTTATACACACTCCTGGGCTTGCAATTACCATCCTTCCAGAATATCCTTCAGGACTCTCCGTATCGCAGCTATTTTCAACCTTTCCGCTGTGAACGGACTGGACGACGAGTCCAAGCAGGATGGGTTTCGCATGTACTCTGTGTGCTGGCTGGGGCCTCTTTCGGTGGCCCCGCCGATTGATCTCACGAACAGCACTTGTCTCTTCGATCTTGGTTAACAGAAATCGAGAAACAAGGAATAAAAACACGAAAGGGACTGAATTTAGCTATCCTCTCAACGAAAAGGTTCCCCTAGAGAACCTGAATACTCCGCGGATGAACTATGATCGTGGCGAGATTATCACCGACTGCAGACAGAGAATCAGACGCTTTCTGTTGCTACCAGTGCAACTCAGTCGCCCCCAATACTTCCAACATTTCTCAGATAGACGCAGAGGCTACCATGTCCTCTCAATTGCTATCAGATGATGATAGCCCACTTAGCGACTCCCCGAGGATATCAGGCATGGAAGCTTTTAGTAGCTCCGTGGATACTCTGTAGTCAACTTTCGTTTCGGGATTACTTCAACACCATGCTGAATTCTGGCCAGATGTGGGTATTTCGCTCACCTTCGCTACCGTCGGTTTTTCGATCTCGCGTTTTGCCACAATTCCCTTGTTTTCAGGAACCGCGTCGCCGTCCTACGATCCGGCGATGAACTACTGAATCAACTGACGAGCTAGTTCTCCCGCGGCCGTTCACGAAGTGACTTCTTAAATTCTCGATGAACTCCGCAACGTGGAGCATAATATACTGGCCGAAAAAGAATTTGTTGTGGCAGCAATGGAGATCAAAACAAGCTCTTCGACTTAAAAGACTGAAATTGAGGAGGAAATCGAGGATCTGAAACGGGAGAAATGTCGTGTACCACCATGGATCTGACAGCTCAAGCCTATCTCCAGTGCTGTCTGGCACTGAAAGAGATCGCTCCCATGAATGTGAGGAAAATTCTGGTTCCCCCGCTTGCCAGACGATATGTCATGGGGTTCGCGTCTCCACATTCGTTAGCCAAGGACATGCACGATGTGAAGTTCGAGAGGTCAATCGTGACATCGTTGCCCAACGCAAGGCACCCCCGGTTCGTCTGTTCCAGCACAATCGCCAGGTCCAGAAGGAACAGCCATCGTTCAAGCCGGGGATCGACAATTCGGTTTTTACCAGCAACCTGTGCTATTCGGTTGGATCCTCCCAGATGGGATTTCCATGGAATATCTCCGGCCAAGCCTCCTCAATGGAATAATATCCTGGGTCCTCGGTCTCGTGTGGGAATGTCAGTGGATCGCGCCATTGGTTTTCAGAAACAATGAGCGGTCATACGACTATGACGATGATGCTGGTGAAGAATGTGACGGTACCAGGTCGTCTCCCACCCCTGCAAAATCGCATAAAGCAATACATGTCCGATAAGTGGACGGTAAGTCTACGTACAACTAATATACTTACGCTGCGAACTCGACCAAATAAAGAGAATGCCATGACATTCACTTCTTAGCGAAGTCTACAACATGACCTTCTTCAACAACTTGTATGAAATCTCCCGGCAGAACCTGGCAATCCGCGTTCGCTGTCACCGAGTACGAGAGTCGCATCATGGAGGAGTTGAAACAATGAAAACAAAAAGAAAAAGAAGACTCGGAGTGTCATAGTGACGCCGCAGTACGAACGCCAGTTCAACGTTTGACGCTGGCCAAAAGAGAGAACGACAAGGGAAGTTGCTGAGGATACCGACTAAAAGATACGAGAAAGACATCTTACAAGAACGTATCTTCCCGAATTTTGTGTCAAAATCGACTTTCAAATTTTGTGCTCACCGCGCCCTTGACATACCGCCAAGTTCACCTTGGGAACACATCCGGTGCCCAATTTTGCGATGCGCCGGACGGACGTTTCATGGCTTCGAAACCTGACCTCAGACAGGGCTGACCGGAATACGAAGAGGCTGCAGCGCCCCCTGAAGTGAATACAGCTGCAGAAGCCGCTGAGGCTGCAGCAGAGACGTGCCCCATGCCACCAATCCACCCGCTGCAGGCCGAATCGCGGGCAGACGCTGTCGCAGGCTGTAAAGGCGAATGGAGATAAACTGGGACCGCAACCCTAAAAGA